ATTTGAGCCGAGCCGGGAGGTCGGGCTGCTGGGGGGGGCTGCTGGGGGGCGCTGCGAGTCCCCCCGGCCGCCCCGCTCCGGGGGGAGCTGGGCAGGATGGGGGTGGCAGTGCCTGGCCCCCAGCGGTGTCCGGAGAGGGGGCCAGGCTCTCCCATCGCGGTGCTGGGTATTTGGGCTCGGCTTCAGCATCACCAGGCGGTTTAATTTTTGTTTTGTTTTGTTTTTATACAGCTGATCCTAGATTATTCAAACCCAGGGCAGCTAGAGGAGCGAGGGGAAGGGGAACAGGGACTGCCACGGTGTGGCCAGGCTCCAGGCTGCTCCGCTTGCGTGGCCCGTTCCAGGGAGCGACCAACGCGGTGCGAGAGCCAGCCGGGTTTGGAGCAGGAGAGGAGCCAGGGCCCTGCAGGGATGCGGGAGGAGCTGGGCTGTGCAAACACCACTGAAGGCGCTGGCAGCCCGACCTGGAACAGCTCTTGTTTGACCAGCAAAGAAGGGAGCAGGCTCTTTGGAAAACCAGTTGGAAAACTGCACTCCCTTTTCCTTATGAATGCTTTAGAATGTGCCACGGCAGAGGGTCCCTGCAGACCTTTGCCTGGGGGATGTGACATGCTGGGCAGAGCCTGGGAGCAGATCCAGGGGGTGTAGCTGGGCTGCCCCTCGGAGCCCTCCACTGCCCACATCCCCACGTACGTGTGGGCAGGGCCCCGCGGTGCCCGTTCGGTGGGGAGCACAGGGTGCCCGTGTTGGAGGCGAGGCAGGGGTGAGGGAGGCAGGGGGCGCTGCCTGCCGTGGGCACTCGAGGCCATGTCCACAGGACCAGAGCTGGAAGGCGCTGGCCTGGGAGGGAGGCAGGTGGAAGGAGGATGGAAGAAGTTTACAGATCACCTGAAATTAGAGGGATGCTGTGAATACTGCGGGTGTCAGAGCTGCTGGCCCATCCGAGCTGCTGCAGAAAGCAGAACAGGAGTGCCCATAGCTCAGCCTCAGCCTTGCCATATGTAACTGGCCTGCCAGGGTTGAGCCCTCGCCCCTTTGAAGGCAGCTGGGTGGGAACGGGGCTGAGCTGTGCCGTACTCGGCAGGATGGCTCCCAGCCGGGCTGGGCGAGGGGGAAGGCAGCTCTCACCCCCTCGGCTGCGCCTTCAGCCAGTCGGGCTGTGTAATTCCCTCTGACAGTTCAATGCAGAGCGAAGCCGGCAGCTTCGCGGTGGCGGACGCATGAAAGGTGAGTGCACTGGAGCCTGAATAATGTGGGGAGCTGCTCTCTCCAGCACGCTGCCCAGGGAGCCGGGGGGCAGGGACGAAATGCTGACCCCGGGCTCTTCCCTGCGCTGGCGTCCCACGGGGCACACGGTGCACCCTGAGCTTTACAGCCCTGTCCCACCGAGCCCAGCATGGAGCCAGGGTGGGTGTGATGTATTTGCTGGCTGGCTGCTGCCCTGTGGATATGGGTGTCATCCTGAAAGGCTTTGGGGGAACAGGGAAGGGGCCACCAGACTTGAGACATCAGCTCTACATGGCTGCATGCCTGCTGGGACCCCAGCGTTGGCAGCAGTGTCCCACAGAGGCTAATGGTGGCAGCTGGAGGGGAGCCATTACCTGGCCTGGGGCCACTGGGGAGGGGGGGGAACAGGGGCCCAGGAATTGCACCGTCATGTGTGTGCACCCTCGTCTCCATCCTGCTCCCAGGGGCATGCACACGCGTGCACACACACTCCCTGCGTGCAGCGGGTGCGGTGCCAGCAGCAGGCACAGCTCTCCTGCTCCATCACGCCAACCAGCTCCCACGCTGTGGGGACTTTTTTTTTATGTTTAATCCGCTGGTTTAGCTCTCACACCCCTCATGGCAGCAGGATTGGTTTTGCTGCATTTTTTTTTTCTTTCTGCCCCTCCCCAGAATTCCTCTGGAGCTGGAGAAAGACACCATGGCAGCTGTGCCCACCCAGCTCTTTGGTGTGGGGCAGCAGCCTGCTGGATGCTGAATAAAGGAGCCACAGAGAAATGGAGTAGGAGCTGGGCTGCAGCACCAGGGAGCAGGACCCCCGCTGCCAGCATGCAGGCAGGGTGTGCTTTGCTTTCTGGGGGCAGGAGCAGCACAGGCACTGAGGCAGCCTGGTTCTGGGTGCACCCAACCATAGGGCCTTGCCCAGCTGCTGTGTGAGGTGCAGGGAGAGCATTTCGCTACAAGCAGGTCAATGGAGGGTTGCAGGGATGGGCACAAGCTTCCAGCCCAACATCTCACTCCCAGGCAGGCCGCCTACAGCCCGCCATAACCCCTCCTCGCTACCGCATTGCCCCCAACCCCTCACCTGCCTCATCCTCTCCCTCCTCCCCAGGCAGGATGCAGGTCCGGGGCCTCCTCCTCCTCCTGGCACTGATCCTGCTGGCTGCCACTGCTGAGGCTGGCAAGAACAAGAAAGGTGAGGGGCAACCTGGGGCGGGGGGGCTGGTGAGGTGGGGTACAGCCCGGGGCGTGCTCCTGTGTCCTTGCAGCGACCACCCGCTCCCCCTTCCCTCGCAGAGAAGGCAAAGAAGGATGGCTCCGAGTGTGAGGACTGGCGCTGGGGACCCTGCGTCCCCAACAGCAAGGACTGTGGCCTGGGCTACCGCGAGGGAACTTGCAAAGACGAGAGTAAGAAGCTCAAGTGCAAGATCCCCTGCAACTGGAAAAAGAAGTTTGGAGGTGGGTGCATGTGGCAGGGTGGCTGGGGACCACCCTGGGCTGGGTGCTCATGCCAGACCCTGGCCAGCTCTGACACTTCTCCCCTCTTCCAGCTGACTGCAAGTACAAATTTGAGAGCTGGGGGGGGTGTAGTGCTCAGACAGGTGTGAAGACTCGCTCCGGCATCCTGAAGAAAGCCCTGTACAATGCCCAGTGTGAGGAGATCGTCTATGTGACCAAGCCCTGCTCTTCTAAGATCAAGTCGAAATCCAAAGGTCAGTCTCCACCCCTCCTGTCCCCAAGGCTCCTGCTGGAACCCTGGGCAGGGGCTCTCGAAGGGTAGCTTGGCCTGCTTTGGGCTTTGCAGGTGGTGTAGGGACTTGGGTAGGATGCTCTTCCATCTGCACCAGCACATGTGACAGCCCCAAATTCCGCTGCTGGCTGGGTGGGATGCAGGTGCTGCTAGGAAAAACCCTGGTGTCCCCCCTACAAGTCACCACCCGTTTCGGTGGGACAAGGATTCCCCCCTCTCCTCAGTGGGGCTGGTGCAGAAGGTGACTTTGCACGGAGTGGGGAGGCTGCCTGCAGGGATGCGGCCCCTGTGCCATGCCAAGCGGTCCATGCTGGCTACGTTTCTGCCATGGCAGTGCTTGGAGCATCAGCTGCCAGCAGACGCACTAACTCTTGTCTCCTATGCTTCTCGGATGCAGCAAAGAAAGGCAAGGGGAAGGACTAGAGCGGGAAGCCAGCATCCTCATCAACCCCTCGACACAGTACCCACAGGGCTGGATGCCCAGCTGCAGCCGGCCCATGCTCCAGTCTTCCTCCTCCTCTCCTTCCTCCTTTCCCTGACCTCTTTCACTGAGTTGCCTTGTTTTAATTGCTAGTGTTGTAGAGAGCAAACCCACCCACCCCACAGGAGGGGCTGCCCCCCTTCCCTGCTGCCCCACCACCACTGCCAGCGTGTCCCACTTGCCTCCTCTCACCTGATGTTGGGGTTTGCTGGGATGTGCCTGGGAGAGCTGGCATGGGAACACATATTTTTCCACCCTCCAGCACAAATTAGTTGCCTTTAGCACAATCTTTGGCAAGCCCAGGAGCCTCCTCACTCCTCCACCGGTACCAGTGCTGGAGGGAAGGGCTGAGTGTTGAATGCTTGAGTAACCCCATCACTCATTCCCTTTACTCACATGAGGACTGCTCTCTGCTCAGGGAGCTTCTTCCAGCATCCCTTCAGCCGGGGCACAACTTCCCTGCAGCAGGGAATGGGGAAAAGAAAGCCACTGCCCCTGGGATCCACCATGTCCCCTCCTCCGTCACTTCTAACTGTGTGTCCATGCTGGGGCTGCAGCCCCTCTGCCTTCGACATGCCAACGCTGGTGCTGGGTGGAAGCTCTCACTTCTTTTGGAAAATGGGGTTTGTTTTCTTTTCCAATAAAAATCTTTTTTAAAAAAAAATATCAGAACCCACCTGTCGTCCCCACAAGGTTCTGCTGTGCCGCAAAACCCAGCTTTGCCAACCCCACTGGGACCAGCAGTTAAGGCACCGTGTGGCTGGTGGCAGTGGCCTGGGTGCCACACACATGTGGTCCTGGAGAAGGCGCGTGGCTCAGACCTCACAGCCTCTTCTTGGCAGCGCTTTGGGCTGCCTCTCGCCTCAGGCTTGGAAGGAGGGATGGGGCTGCTACCCGCATGCTGCAGGAAATGTTACTGGTGGGTGACACTGGGAAGCTGGGGAGGAGCAGCCAGGTGATGACCCATTAATTCCTCATGTCATGGCCAATGGTTTCAGGTCCGAGGTCTTTATTTGTCTCGGGGTGGATTGGGCCGTGGTTGTAACAGTTAAAAAAAACCCCAAAACCCACCAGGCATTTTGGGCACCACTATATGAATTATCCTAAAGGCAGTGGGTGGGGTGGTGTCCCCATCTGGGCTGGGGCAGCCTTCAAGTTGCCCAGCATTGCCCTGGCAGGGGGCTGGGAAGGACATACAGATGCAGAGTTTGCCAGTGCCAGTGTGGCCCCATCCCATCCCTCGGCTGTACCCAGCTGTGTCCACCAAGGCTTGCAGAGCCCCGACATTGGGAGAAGCTGAGGAGCAGCCCCGGGGTGGTCTGGGGTGCACACGGCGGTGGGCTGGAGATGCTGGCTGGAACCTGCATGCTGTGGGCTCCGCTGCAACACCGATGGCAGGGTTATGTCCATTTACAAAGCTCAGCAGCCGGCTCCTTTGGCCTCCCTGGGGTGTTCCCCTGCACCCAGGGCACGCAGGGCACAAGCTGTGCATCAGGCCTCCTACACCTGCCATGGGGAGAGCAGGGACCTGCTCATGGCCCAGATGAGACATGGGGCACCTCAGCCACACTGCAGACCCTCTTCCCAACCCCCTCCAAACCCCCCCAGCTCCCCCTGTCCCTCCCCAGGACAGTTATTTTCACTGTCATTGCTGCCCAATTCTCAGGGACCACACTCCGCTGGGGCCATAGCAAGCAGTCCTGCACCACACCACTGCTTTTGTTTGCAGTTTTAGTTCCCATCCTTGTAGGCTGTGACTGGGTTTCGCGCTCCTCAGTCAGGAGTGAGATGTTTGATTTGTCTGTCTGTGTGTCCAGACAATTGTTGACCAAGGGCAGAAAGGGCACAAAGGGGAGAGCAGAGCTGAAGCCCAGGGAAAAAGCCCCCCACCCCTGTCCCTGGGTGAGGATGTGCGATGGCACCTCTCAAGGGAAAGGAAGGAGTTTGCCACATCTGCTAGGGTGCAATTTTGACTGCCTTGGGAGAGACCTGGCTGGGCCAGCAGGACTGCCCACACCAGCCTGGTCTAAGATGGTTGGCAAATGTTTGGCCCTGGTTTGTTCTCATTTCTTGGGTAATAAATAGTTTAAAAGCCTATTGAAAGCATCCAGCTTTAGGCTGTCTGCATACAGACAAGCTGTGATGCCCTGGAGATGGTCAGCCAGGGGAGAAGAGGCATCCAGTCTTAGGACAGACACTGATGCCATTTGGCTAACCTCTCAAGAGCAAGAAGCTGGGGAGGGCTCCTGGTGACCACATCTCCTCCTCTTGCCTCCAGATTTCCCGCTGGCTCCCCAAGTTAGTCCCCAGGCCTGGGGTGACTGGAAGGAGCTGCAGCTCAGAGGTGCCTTGGACCTTTGTCAGCACTGGATGAAGGGCATCATCTGCAATCATTGCATAATATGCACTGTTGTGATGAGAAGCAGAGGATTCCCCTCCCCAGCAAAGGAGGCAAAGGGAAGGGCTTCCGTGACGTTGCTGAGGTGGTCCCTGAGCGCCAGTTTATCTGGCTGTGCCAATGTTCCTGTACTGGCACATAAGAAGGTGCTTGAAGGTTTTCTTGAAAGTGGCATTGCAGAGGGCGTAGCAGGCTGGGTTGATGGTGCTGTTGACATAGCAGAGCCAGTAGCCGATGGACCACACTGTTTCAGGTACACAGGTCTCACAGAAGGTGTTAATGAGGACCATCACGTTGTATGGAGTCCATGTGATTATGAAGGCCAGCAGGATAGCAAATATGGTGCGGGTGACTTTCTTCTCCCGTGCTGCCATCTGGCGCTTCTTCCGTACTTGGCTCCTGGCGATGCTAGCAAACTTCCTGGCAACGTTGGCCGGGCGGCTGTTGGCCAGGGAGTTGTGCTCAGAGGCTCCTGCCTTAGCTGGGACAATCTCAATGGCAGTGACACACTCGCTCCCAGTCTGCTTGGTGACGATCTTAATCTTGGACCACTTGGAAGATGGGTTCACCCGCGGGTGGGATGGGCTCTGTCCTTGCCCTGCTGGCAAGATTTCTGCTGTGGGCTTGTCTTTTGTGGTCTGGGTCATGCTGACAGTGCTGGACTCATTGGAGGTCTCCTTCTCCTCCTGATGGCCAGTGGCCTCTGTCTGTGCTGAGGGTTGGTCATCTACCTTTCCATTCCTCACCTCCTCCTTCACCTCCACGGCTCTCTTGGGAGAGTTATTGTTGTTCTGCTTGATCAGGGGGCCCTTGAAGAAGCTGAGGGACTTGCCTTTCCTCTCTTTCCTGCTTTCAGGCTTGTGCCTCCTCACCCTGCTCCTGCTGGCCAGGGAGATGTGGATGTACAGCACCGTCATGATGACCACAGGCAGGTAGAAAGCAGCGATGGCCGTGCCGAAGGTCACCGCTGGGTTGGAGAGGAACTGGATGTAGCATTCCCTCTCAGGGACTGTCCTCTTGCCCACAATGAACTGCCAGAACAAGATGGCAGGGGCCCAGAGAATGAAGGACAATATCCACGCGGCCGCGATCATTAGCCCTGCCATCTTGGTGGTCCTCCTGGCTGGGTATGTCAGGGGCTTGGTGACACAGAAGTACCGGTCAAAGCTGATGATGAGCAAGTTCATGACAGAGGCATTGCTCACCACATAGTCCAGGGCCAGCCACAGGTCACACACCACAGCCCCCAGCGGCCAGTAGCCTTTGATGATGTAGACCGTGTAGAGGTTCATGGAGAAGACCCCAATGATGAGGTCCGCGCAGGCCAGGCTGAAGAGGAAGTAGTTGTTGACAGTCTGGAGCTGGCGGTTCACCTTGATGGATAGCATCACCAGGATGTTCCCCACCACGGTGACAAGGCTGAGTGAGCCGGTGACTGTGGCGATGAAAACCAGCTCCACCGTCTTGTAGTTGGTGGGAGGCTGGATGGTCACCTCAGAGCGGTTGCCCAGGGTGAAGTTGTCGTAGGTCAGGTTGGCCATCTTCGCCTGCCAGGGCTGAGCAGAGAGGTTGTGCATGGGGTCTGCAAGGGGAGCAGGGACAGAAAGGGAGAATATCACACCCGCCAGCCTGTGCTAGCAGCATTTGCTGCCTCCTCAGTTTCTCATGCCAGCAGTGCTCTTGGCTAGTGCTTGAAACCCCCCCTCCCCCTGGCGCTACCGGGCTTCTCTCTGTCATTGCAGCCTTCCCCCAGGACCTCTTTGAAGGCACTTTTTGTGTCCCCATTTAGCAATGGAGGAGACACACGGGGCTGCAAGGAGAGGAGCAGGGACAGGGCTGGGGACAGCCCTTTGACCAGAGTCCCTTCTCTGGAGGGACAGGAGCCATCGCCCAGCCTTGGTGTGCCCCAGGGAGGCACGCAGTGAGGCGGAGGGGCTGCAGGAGGCTGCGGAGCTGAGCGGTGATGCACAGCTGAAAGGACAGCATGGCATGGAGCTCATGCCCTGCCCCAGGGACGAGAACAGGTTTGTGGTATACCCCAGCCACGTCCCACTGGCCTCCCCAAAGCATCTCCCCAAGATGGGGCTACCCCACAAAGCCCGTGCCATGGTCCGCTCCGCTTACCTGTGTCTCTGGCAGCAAACAGCTCCTTCTGGAAGATGAAATCTGGGACAGGGAAAACAGCAAGTTACACTACAGCTTCAGCCCCAAAGGGTTCATGCGAGGCCCACAACTGGGGCGGGGGGGGGTAACAACCTTTCCGACAGAGGTGGCCTTGACAAAGGGGTGACACTGCTCAGAGGCAGATGCTGAAAACCCAGACAAGGCTGAAACTTGTTTGGCTTGGCCTGGTTCACAGCCCAGCCCCGACAGGGCCAGGGTGGGGAAGGGGCCACACGAGTGCCATCAAGCAGAGATGCTGGGAAATGCTGTCCCCTTCCCCCAGACCCACATCACACCACAGCTGCAGCCACACTGCCCATGGAGACGTACAGGGTGAAGCCAGCTGTCTCAGCCTGATACATGGAATTATTTATGAAAGGTGGCAAGAATTATGGACAGAAAGACTGTCTTCATCCAAACCAAGATGCCTGTGGTTAACCCCCCAAGGTAAGAGGAGAATGGGCCTTAAAAAAAAAAAAAAAAAAAATCCGTGGACCAAAATTAATGTGTGGGGCTGAAGAGGAATTTCCTGGAAGGGGAAGGAGAAGTAAAGGCACTGGGGGAGGTAGGCTGGACAGAGGAGCTCCCCATTGGACCTGCCTCTTCCACACCCCCCAGGCCCCCAAAACCTGCTGGACCTTCACCAGCCTCACCCGGGGTGCTGGGCACACCCCGACCCCAGCAGCCCAGCCTGTCCAGCAGCCCCACGCGGGTCGGTGGGTCCTGCTGGGCTGCCCAGAGCGCCCCACGGGCGCTGCAGCCGGTAGCCCAGCGGGAGCCGGGGCAGCGGGCCTGTGCCCGTGCCAGAGCGCGCAGCGGGAGCGCTGGGCACCGCCTGTCTCTGCGAGCTGGCTCAGGCAGCGGCGCTGGCTCCGAACGCCTGGGGCTCCTGAAGCTGGTTTTGCTAAATGTATAAACAACTGTTAACGCCCAACTCTCCGAAGCAGGGTTTGGCAGGCTTTGGGATCAATTCGTCTATATAAAGTCTTTTAAAAGAAATGCCCTTGCCTTTCTTTTGTGGTGAGGGTAGGAGATTTCTGCCATCAGCAAACGGCCAAGGGTTTAATATAACCACTTTTTAAAGAGAGACAGGTGTGAGAAAATATAAACATGGCTGCTGAGATGCTAAAGCTGGGGTACCAACATGGCCATTAAGGCTGCTTCTGCATTAGCAAGGCTACAGCTGCAACAGTGGTCAGGCTTTTCTTACACGCACAGGGGAAAGAAGTGGGTGAGGGACAGAGAAATACCTCTGTACCGTTATCCTCTGAGCCTGTTACATGTGGCCCACGAAGACAAAGTGCTTCGAAAAGAAAGCAACACCCTTGAGCAGATACTAAAAGCTAAATAGTGATGGGGTGAGGAAGCCCGGCAGCACTGCCCAGCTTTACACCCAGCTCCAAACACAAGGGATGCATCAAGGGAGAGGGAAAGCAGTTTCCGCTGCCATCCTTCCTGGGCACCCAGCCAGGGAAGTGAGAAGAGGTGATAAGTGTATAAAATAGCTTAGAAATATATAATCGTGGCAGTTTGGGGGTTGGTTTCAGTACAATTGAAATGAGTTTTAAATTCTTCACTTCTCTCAAATGGAGAGATTTAGCTGTCATTCTTGTAACAGCTAATCAAACCAATCAGACAAGCTAGCAATCAAGGAGACATCTACCCCAGCTCTTCCAGGAAGAATTTGAAAAATCCTGAAAAGAAACCTTTCCTTTGTCTCTGCTAAAATGAGGGTTTCAGTTTTTTCACTTCAGTTTGTGAACCAGCATGCTCTTCTAGGCGCATTTAATTAATTATCAACCTTGACAGAGGCTTGTGCTCTCGGTTGCCCGAAGTAAGAAAAGTCCATCTCTGCCCACTCCATAAAAATGTTTGTATAGGTCACAAGAAATGAAGGAGGAGAAGACTGGCGCGGCTCCCCTCGCGTGTCTTTGGATGCCACCCAGAGGTCATGCTGGAAACTGGTGTGCTGAGACACCGCAACTGCAGCCCCAGGGTGAAGGACTTAAAACGGATATTTTGAAAATGAGCCTTCACTAAAGGGCAAAAATAGAGCAATCTCCTGTTCGAGGGTAGGAGGGGGAATCAAAATGGTTGAGGGTGTGAAGTACAACACAGGCGTACAGTAACATGTACAAGCTGGAAGACGTGTACACCATGCACCCTCACCTCAGACACCCTGGCTATTTTCCACCATGCCTCAGCCTATTGAGCATCCCTTCTTCACCCATCCTCTGCTCTTCCCATCCTGCTGTCTCTCTCTTCTGCTCCTGACATCCTCTCTGAGCTCTTCGGGACTAAATGCCTTCCCCATGCTCCCCATCTCTCTCCTCCTGCACCTCTAGGGGCACATTTCTCCTCTCCCTCTCCTCCTGCTCCCTGTCCCCATCCCCCTTTGCCCCCCACCTCCATGCCAGCCCCAAAGCCAGGGAGGAAACGCTCCGCAAAGCCCAGAGGCCACTTCAGAAGGGCTCCTGGGGCTGAGGCCCCTACCTGTGACACCAACTGGTTTTTCAGCCTGCACACTCCGTCCCTTGTCTGCAGTGCTCTCCCAGACCTGCTCTCACCAGGTAGCTAACAGCAAACTCCATCACTGCCCTCCTCCCTCCCTAGGACTTCTGGCACTGATTTATGGCTGGTTTTCTCCTCTCCACTGAAGTCATTAGGAGCCTCCAGCTCTTCATTGACAGCACCTTCTGGGTCTAAGGGTTTCTGTGGCAGCTACAGCACTCAGCAAGTATGCCCTCAAGACACAGAAATGCCTTTCCCTTCCCACCCAACATCTTGCATGTTATGGATGAAGACCTCAGGCACAGGTAGACACAGATCCAAACAGAAAAGGTTGTAATTTGGGTAGAGTCCAACTATTTTGGGAAGTGCTTGGCACAGCAAGGTCCCCATTGCTGCCTGAGATCATGGGTGCCATGATGGGTGAGGAGACACCTCCAGAGCAAGAGAGCAAAGCCAGTCCTGCCCACCCCTCCTCAGTCACAGGGTGACATCCAAGGGCACGTCGGAAAGCTGCTATTTCCTCTCTGCACACCTTATGTGCCACTCTGGCAAACCTTCCCAGCCTGTCAGCCCCTGCAAAGCACCTTGCTACCCATCACCAGGTAGGAAAGGAGAAAGCTCTGTCATGGGCTGCTGAGGGCCATCCTGTACCCAAAAGATCTGCACTGGCCAGAAACGGGTGCTTCATTGCATTCAGACAGTGACCAAGCACCTGCTGAGCACTCATCCGATGTGGGACGGAGAGTCTCACTCCCTCCTGCCCATCCTGTTGCTCCCCGAACAGCAGGAGCTGACCACCCTCCCCACCAGCACAGTGAAGGCAGTGGGAGAAGTTGGTATTGATGCGTGCTCAGGTGGTGGTGGCACCTCGAGCTGTGGGATGAGCTCCTGGAACAAGCAGCCCTACTGACCCCTGCTTCTGCTCCCTGTGCCCCTCCATGGCGCATGACCCTCACACTACCATCAGCCGCCCCTCGCCCTGCACCACCACTGCCTGCATCCCAGCCCCATCCTCATCCTTGGCAGAGGACTGAGCAGCCCCATCCTCATCCTTGAGCAGAGTCACAACTGGTCCATGTGTGGCTTGAAGCAACATCTCCGGGAATGAGCAGGGCTGTGCATGCAGCCAGCACGCTCGGCAAGCATCACCACCAGAAACCAAGCCCCACACTCACATGCCAGTCAGGGGAAGAAGGAGAGGAATTAGAGAAACCATTACTTTCGCAGAGGCTTCCGAGGGTGAGCGGCTCCAAGAGGAGACAGGCTTTTGCTCTGCATGGGTGCAATCAGCCCTTTGGAGAAACAGCAAAGCTGAAGAGACCTAGAGCCCCAGGGGTCCCTGCCCCAGCAGGGATGGGGTGGAGGTGGCTGCCAGCTCCTGGATGGATGGACGCTGTGGGGCTCCAGAACAGAGGGACGCTGGGCCCCTCCACTGCGAGGATATCCCGGGGGAAGGCACACATCAGTCCCTGCTCCGGCTGGGCGCAGAGGGCTGGGGCCAGTGCACATCAGCTCTGGCGTTGCCCTTGGAAAGAGCCTTCCCAGCCCTGCTGCTGGCCCCCTCCTTGTCTTGGCCTTCCTAGAAGCGCCAAAAGGGTGAAAATCTTAATGGGATTAGTTCCGTCATGTCAAACTGCTGATGTGACACAGGGCTGGGCAGTTAGCGCAGACACAACAGAATTTGAGGAGAGGAGGGAGGAAAAACGTGGGGAGGGATGGAAGATGTTGAAGGGTACTTGTGTTTATGGCTTATGCACACAGAGGGAAGGGACAATGGGAGGGGTGACAGTTTGTGGTGCTAATTGCATTATCTAATAGCTGTTAATTAGTTCCTGAGTCATGGCACCAGTTTACAGCAAGTGAAGGATTGTTCTGGTTGACAGATTCACACTCCTCAAAGAGTGTGAAAATAGAGCTCCTAGATACCAGGAACAGACACCTTAGAAAGACAATATAGAGGGAGAGGATCAAGGGGAGGCCCTGTGACCCGTCGGGGGATTTGCCCCTGTGTGGACCCCCCTGAGGTCCTTATCCCGCTCCAGAAGAGATTTGAGCCATCACACCAGAGGAATTGCTTCTTGCCAATAGTGTACGGGGTGGATCTGGGTATTTTATTTTTCCATTGAATAATTTATAATTCTTCCTTTGCTATTCAACTGGTTCTCGTGAGGCAAAGCAAATTCCTCCATCCCCACAAGCTGGGAGTCTCTGATGGCTTTTTCTGGAGCCACCAGAGAAGCAGTGAGCTCAGCAGCACAGGAGCTGCCAGCTTTCAGGGGGAGGTGAGGTGGCTGGAGAACCCTCCCTGTGCTCGGCACGTGTTTGCCCATCAGGTTTTGAAAATTTGCTCTGCCTGGGGCCAGAAGGGAGTGTTGCAGTCATCTAACCTGACTACCCACCCTGGTAAGCCAGGAGCCTCCCCTGCCTCCACTGCTGCTTGTGACTAGGTGGTTGTCACTGGGTTTCAAAGCAAAAACCGAGGCACCCTGTGTGTGAGAAGCACTTGCAGGTCAGAGCTGTGGCATACAAGCTGCTCACCTCAGTAGCACTGAGCCCAGCACGCTCACCAGCACCCCACAGCCAGCATGGCTGTACCCCCCCCGAGCCGAGCTAGCCCCCCGTGGTGTTTGCCTGTATCCCTAACATGCCCTGCATCGTACACAGTAAGGGGTTACACACCATTACCCACAGCAAATCGATGAGAAAGTGTTTTTAAGTGGTTAAGACTCTTACAAATAATCTATCAGAATGCTGGCCGCTCTGACAATTAGTTAATCACCTGTCACCCAATTATTGGGCCCAATAAATGACCTACCAGAGGAACATTAATAGTGAGCGCACCCGGCAAACACCATGCAAGCCAAAGCCCAAGCCAAAGCCCAACCTTACCCCGCTGTGCCCAGCCCATGGCTCCTGGGCACTGGCAACTCCCACACTTGCATTGGCTCCAATGGGTAACATCACAGGGGAAAAAGGCTCACCATGACAGCATACCACAGTGGGGCCAAAGAGGACACTGTCCCCTCCCTCCTGTGCCCTCTGCCTTAGACCTCCCCAGGACTGCAGCTCTGGGCTGGAAGCAGAGCTCAGCTTATGTTGCTGAGCCAGGAAGGTGCTTGGCTTTCAGCTGAGCCTGGACTAGAGCCACACTTTTCCTCTGCCATCTACTGCATTAATGCTCTCTGCCTCAGAGAGATGCTCACGTTCTTTTATATCCCTGGGCTGAAGCTTTAATAGGACCCAGCTGTTTCAAGGCAGTGCAACAACAATAACCCTGCTGCAGCTACAGGTCCTGCTGTTGGGAAGAGCTTTGGGCTCAGCTGCCAGAGGGGAAGGAGAGAGAGAGAGGGGATTACAGCAACAAGTGACTGCCTGGATTAGCTGGGCTCTCCCTGGGGAGAGGTTAGTGGCTGAGGTCAGATGCCTGTGGATGGATGGTGCTGAAGGAGGGACTGGGGGGGAAGAGGGCAGGGAGTTGCAAGACCCTGGATCTGGTTGCTTAGAAGAGCAGCTCTCCCTGCTCCAGGGACAAGGACAGGCCTTGCCTGGGGATAGAAAAAGAGATGGACTCAGCCCCTCTTTGGGGAAGGCAGTTGCGGGGAAGCTCCCTTACCCTGGCACTGCCCCTCACAGCCATGGTTGCCCACAGCATGTTCCTGCCACCTGCCCAGGGCACCAGCCCACCCTGGCCTCCCAGAAGTCAGGGCTGGCACTAGGCAAGGTGGGGGCTAGCCCCCATGCAGAGAGCCGCAACACCCTGCGCCCACCCTCTGCCCCCACCCTGGGGTGCCCACAGGCCATGGGGTAGGGATGCAGGTCAGGGAATCAGGGTTGTGGTGTGGCTCGGGCAGATCAGAGCTGTCAGGAGGGATGGGGGGGTTGTGTTTCTCCATAAGCAGCTCCTCCCAGAGCCAAGGCACCACAGAGAGAAAACACGAAGGTGCTCATCTGAAATTTTAAACAGTGGGTAATGTGAACCAGAGCCCCTTGCCCCATGGAGCAGAGCGAGGCTCGGTGGAGCTTTGAGGGGACGAATAAGCCAGCTGAGCAATGGCTGAGAGAAAAGAGAGCTGATGTCCTGAGCCAAGGGCAGAAAATGGGGCAAGAGCAAGGGTCCCACCGGATGGATGTGGATGTGACAGAGGGGAGTGCTAGTCCTGGGGACAGACAGCAGAGGGGAATCTTTGGAGTGCTAATGGAAAAAGGAAATTGAAAATATTAGTCCCCACTTGGCCACAAGACCGGCCAAAGGGTTTGGCTCTGGAGGTGATGCCTGAGCAAGGGACAGAGCAAAGGACAGAAGCTGCAGCAGAAGGTGAGCAGGGGAGCCCAGGGCATGGACAGGCAGCGTGGAAGCATGGGGGCCAGGGAAGGAGAGCAGGTAGGAAACCCCCATCTGTGGAACAACAGAGGAGAGGAGGGATGCAGAGGAAGAAGGTGGGAATAGCTCCAGGCTGCCAGGGAGGGATTATATATGTCCCCTGCAGAAGAGTCCTAAGAAACTCTTCCGAGAGGGAGAGATCTCACGCAGAGACACTGCCTGCGAACCTCTCTCTGCTGCCTTCCCTGAGGCTCCCACCAGCTCCTGGCTGGGCAGAGTGGGAGCCATGCTGTGGCTGCAAACCTTCATGGGCTGCAGCTCTCCTGCCTGGCAGCTCAGCTCTGCCTACAAGCCACCTCTCTCTCCATAGGATGGTGGTCTCCAGCCTGTCCTGGCCCAACACTAACACCACAGGCAGCACCCCACAGCGCTTGGCAGGGGTTTAGCTACCTCATTGCCTGTGGCTGCACCATGGTAGTAGAGGGTTTCATGAGTTGGGCATCACTTATGGGCCATGGTGAGTGATCTGAGCTCTGAAAGCAGTTTAGAGATGAACATGCTAGATGCTGCTGCTGAGCGGCACAGAAAGGCAGACCCAAGCCCAAGCAACTCACGCCTGTTGTCAGTAGGGTTTCATTGCACTCCACTCTTCTCTGCACACACGCACGCACTTTTTTGGCTTTAACTGGGGCTGCACATGATGTAACTGCCAATAGATCAGGGATCCAAACTACCCTGAAGGCACTAGAGATGATAAGATGCAGGATACGCTCCTTCCCATCTCAGTCATGCAAAGATCCCACAAGGATGCCTGTCCCTCTGCGGCAGAGCCAGCCCGTCACGCTGCCTGGGGGGGGCCCTGCTAACATCAACATCGGGAGGGGCTGCGAGCAAGGGGTCACTGAAATGAGGCGCCATGCATCCCTCTAGAGAGCTGCCCTGTGACCTGGAGCGGACGTGAGGGCCTGAGACATTGTGTTTGGAGAGTGATGTTTTCAGACCTCGGTGTTGCACAACTGGAGCTCTGAGTTTCCCACAGACGAATCAATCTAATTCTGCTTAAAGAGCCCAAAGACATTAACCCGTTAACCGGTCGACTCAAACCAACTCCGCCATGAGCCTTAAACCTGCAGATGACACTTCACCCAGCACCCCACTCCTCCAGATGACTCCAGCTGAGGCACCTGGTGCCAAGCCCCCCCGCCTCCTCTGTCAAGCTGCAAGGTGCTGTGAAATATATTAGATTTAATAGCAGTCATGGTAGCAGGGGGGCTGCTTCTCCGCCTGGCTTTCATGGCTAGATGAGTGCAGCCAGCTTCAATAGCTTGGTACAGCATCGATAGCTCTGGCTGAGCCCGCTGTGTCCAAGGAGCTACATGGTTTACACTGAGTCCTGCCTTTAAAGGACAAATTTCCTGGCTGCTGCTCTTCCCGCGCCAGCTGACCTAGGATGAAATTCCTCTGCAAGGCTCTTGAAGAGAAGCAAACAGCCCTGTCGTTCCCCATGTCCCTCTCCAGCCCTCTCTGAGTCACAGAAACAGCGCCCAGGGTGGGTGTGGGTCCTCTGCACCAGCACGTCTCAGCCTGCCTAATGCTGGGGCAGGGGGTGGGAAGGAACTGGGCACTTGGGCATCTCTGCCACCGCCTCATGCACCGAGTGGGATTGAAGCCCACACTGCACAGCGCATGCAGGGGTGATGGGGACAGGGTCACAGCAAGACAGGAGGGCTGGTGTTGCTCCCACAGATCTGACTAGCAGGACCTCCACTGCCAGAGGGACAAGGCTCTGTGCCTGCAGCCGCTGAGTTTGGAGGCTTGGACAGGCCGGTGAAGTTAATTTTCTCAGCAAACTTGCATCTTACAGACATAAACCAAGTCTTTGTTGGAGTTCCTCCTCCATGTGGTGCAGCCTCTGGGATGAATGCATCTCTGAAGGGTCCTGGGAGCAGTCCTGGGGCAAAGGCATGAGCAGCTGGCTGGGGAGCATCTCCAGCAGTCATGTTTGCTCATGCTCACTGTGCCGGCAGGACTCCAGGTCTGAAGCCAGGTCAGATGATGTTGTCCTGGCCCAGAGACAAGTCCAAGAGGACCAGTGCACCCATCTGCAGGGAAGGTGGGATGGATGCCAACACGCACACAGGGTGAGGACACCCAAGGATGGGGACTGGCTGTATGTCAGCTGCTAAAACCCTGCTGCTAAACATCAAGGGGGGGACCTGTAGGCAAGATACCCTGCCCTGCACTCCTGCAACAGCAAAATACTGGTGTAGTGGGCTAGCCTGCCCAGGGAGCACTCACCTCAGATTAATTTGTTCAGGAAATGCCTAACTTCTCCTTGAAATTCAACAAATGAATTTGTCCAAATACAGTGCAAGGGCCAACCTCGGTATGTTCAAGGGTGCAGATGCAGTGAGCCTTTCCTGTGCCTAGAGGGTTAAAGGAATGTCGTGGTGGGCAGTGTTCTCCCAGGACGGTCGAGGCTGGCACACTGCTGCTTGGCTATGAGTTAGACAACAGCCACACCTCACTGCCTGGCCTGCCGGGCCCTGGGCAGAAGAGCATGTGAGTCTTCCTAGAAACCAGTGTCTGTTTTCTGACTGGTTGCCTGAATCTCTCAGAAGAGGGATGGCTTTGGTATGGCTCCAAATGCTGGCTTGAAGAGGCTTCAATGTGGCCTGGCTGCTGAGACCCCACCCCACCCTCCCAGCTGCCCCCAGCACAGTCATGGTGGGCACTGGTGCTAAGGAGCACTCAGTTGGGAGAGGGATGAAGAGAGGAGGGGAAGGAGATGGGATCAATCTGGTCCAAACTTCTACTTCTTGGCTGCACCAGGTCCTGCACCTTCACATTTCCCCAAAACACACATCCTTTAAATAGAGAGCTTTAGAGCCAGCCCAGAATGGATGCTGAAATCCAAAGCAGACCTCCTCCCTTGGTGTACTGAGAGCAACAAGGGCATAGCCCCATGTCAGACTGAGCAGAGACTGGCTTAAGGACAATGCCTGCTTCTCCAGAAGACGCCCATCAAAGCCCTGCTTTAGCATGCCAAGGAGAAGGGGTCAGCTTGTGCACATGAAACTCCTGCTTGAAACATGCACATGAAACTCCTGCTGCGTGTACATGCATGCAGAAAGAGGAGCTGCGTTTGTGCAGAGAGCAGCAGCCCCTTGCAAACAGCCTCCATTTCCCTCTCCCCTCGCTATTGCCGTCCTCACTGTCTTTGCAGAGTTGCCTCTGCCACCTCAGCTGGGCACTCACCAGCCCTCTTCACCTCTGCAGGTGCTGCCGGCCACGGCTCTGCAGGGCAGGTGGAGAAGGGCTCCACAGCAAAGGTGCGTTAGGGACTGCTCTGCAGCAGCCACGTGTCCTGGGGTCACTATTTTTATTCCCTGGCTTTGTTTTTTGTTTGTTTGTTTTGGTTTGGTTTTTTTTGTTTGGTTTTTTGTTGGTTTTTTTTTTTTCCTGGGGAGATATTTGTAATTTTAATTTAAAAAAAACCAAAACCCAACCCCACAATAAAATCCCAACCATGACAAAACCTGATATCAATAGGATCCTCGTGGGGACAGTTTAAACAGAAAAAAACATGCTCCTTCTGCAAACTCAGAGTAATTGGATCACAGCATTAATTAATCATTTCAGTTCATTTCTCTTCTATGAAAGAAAACAGACTGACCTGCTGAGATGAGTATGCCCCTCATGTGAATAAACAAACCACTTTTACCGGTAACCCTCCTCCTCCTCCTCCTGCCAGCTTCCCACTGTCCACTCACCAGGTCACCCTGGGGGCTGCTGCCGCTCTGTCTGGCAGCGCCGGGACCCCGGCTTTGAGCTGGGGCTCGGTGGCTCCCGCAGGAACCGGGGGCCACCCCCTGCTCCCAGATACCTGCTCCCATCCCCACCCAGGGTCTCTGCCCGCCAGGCACCAGCACAGCTGAGGGATGAACCAGGGATGGATCGCTATTTCTCAGGATCTCTGTAGGGGTGAAGTAGCCCCCTCGGATGCCCTGCTCTTTGTTGGGATGCCTCATGGGGGCCTAGTCCAGGCTGGAGAGCAGCAGCAGGTGCTTGGATCACAGAAGTCAGGGCGTTAGGAAGACGGGGATGATGACCAGCAGTAGTGAAAGCAAAAAACATCTTGCTGAAGCCTGTGATTTCAACACAAGCGTTGTTACTGGTGATGTTTCACTGAAATTCTGGGCTCTAGGACCCTGGCATCTGAGTATTTTGATAGACAGAGCCAGCATCAACAAGCCACCCCACTGGGTGGGTACCAGCCCTCCCAGCCCC